GAATATTCAGTTAGGGTTTGATAGTTCGTGTTTGGTTCAATTGAAAAGTTGATTAAAATTAGGGCTGTCCGTTGGTCGATTCAGTTCGGTTCTGAAGCGAACCGACCCAACCCAACCTAAAACTTTCGGGTATTTAATAAATGAAACCGTCGGGTCCAAATATAATTATGGAACCGTTCGGGGTTCGGTTCCATTCGGTTCGGTTCCGTACCATAATTAAAAAAATTTAATATTTACAGCGACACTACATAAATACAACTAATGACATTTCATTCGTAACTTTTACAAATTAACGTAGCTCAATTCAAAAATATATAAATAACTAGCCGTCCAATAAATTGAATTTTATCTCATTTGAAAGTTTTAAATTTAATGAGCAAATTCGAATAGTCATGTAATCATAAGCAAATTAAAATGGGTTAATGAGTTTTAAAAATGATTTGGACTTTAAAATTAAAATTATGAAATAATTTGATTTATTTAATTAATTTGCTAATTTGTTTAGAAAAAAATAAAATAATTTAATTAATTCAAAATAAAAAATAAAAAAAATTATTTAGTTTCGGTTCTTATTCGGTTATTCGGTTCTTGGTCTAGACCCGACCCAAATCCATCGATTCTCGATTCGGGTACCCGTTCGAGTATTTAAACTTACGAATAACCGCTCGATTCGATTCGATTCGGAACTTTTGGACACGCCTAATTAAAATTCAAGTCAAATCAATCATTATTTTAAGCATATATTTTATGGGTTTCACAACTTTTTTTTATCAAAATTTCCATTTTTCATTAATTTTATTAAAATCTATTAAAAATATGATATATATATAAATCAAACCGGGCATAGTCCTTCGTTTGGTTCCATAATATTATTTTTCAATGTTGATGAAGAAACTGGAATACAGACTAGAGTGTATGGTAGGCTCGGGAGAAAGAATGATTGTCTAGAATAATTTAAAGTAATTGATAATAATAACTTCGAATAACGTGGTATGTTGTGCATTGGACCGTTCATTTGACTTTTGAGCCATATTCTATTCATGCCTCTTTAATTTCAAAATTAATGGGACAATTGAATGCATTTAAAAGTTATGTTTCCAATAGAAATAAACTAGTTACTATTTTTGAAAAAAACATAACTATTCTCATTATTTTAGTTTTCTAAATAGAATTAGGTAGAAGTTCTAATTTTCATTAGAGTGATGATAGCCTCGCTGAAATTATAACATCAATCTACATGATTTTTAATGTGCCATTAAATAATAAGTACAATAAAATAAATCATTTAATCTTATTTTTCATTTAGCGTATCACATAACACCACATAGATTGGAGTGCTATGGTAAATACAATCATGCTACAAGTACACTAACTTTGACATTGTACTACGTGGCGACATCACATTGGACAGTTTTTAAAAACAACACACTTTCTCGCCAAACACAAATTGAATTTACACACGGTATCAAACTTGATGTCAAGAAAACAATGTACAAGAGGCTTTATTCATGGTCAATATCCAAAATCGAATTTTATTTATTTTCTTCTCTTGGTAAAATGAGGATTTTTTTTTTTTTTTTTAACCAGCTGCATGTTTTTAAATGGTATTCGCCATGTGGTTGTTTAAGAGGCTCGAACTCAAGTCGTCCTCAACCTTTAAACCAAGCTAGAGTTCATTATGATTACAGTTGTGCTATGCTCGACTTTGGCATGTCAATTGGGAACGAAATTGAATAATATTTAAGCGAAAAATCAAACATATTTTTTGACATTTGAATAATTAACTTAAATATTAATGAGAATAAAATATAGAGCATGCTAGGGATGATTTAACTTAAATTTTGGCAATAAATATATGACTTATTTTTTAATGTGAACCTACCTATTTTCAAAATAACTCATTATAAATTATACATTTAAAACTTATTTTTAGGCTTATTATCACAAAACGTCCATATGTTTGGCATTTAGTATGTAAACGTCCTTACATTTCAATTTTTTTTCATTTTTAACCCAATTTCCACGTTTCATTGTGAAAATGTCACTTTCATCAATTTTTATTCAATTTATCAATTAATAATTGTAAAATAACAAATATATCATCCTATTTAAATAAAACAAAAATAAAATAAAATAAAAATAAAGAACAAATTGAAATCATACTCCTATTTTAAAAAAATACAAATAAATTAAATTAAAAAATCAAAAAAGAAAGAAAAAATCATCATATTCTTCCTCCTCTCCCTCTCCCCCTCCCCCCGTCCCCACCCCTACCCCTCATTATGAAACGAATCCAGAAAATAGATTGGAAAATAGTAAAGGATGTAAAAATACTAAAAACAAATCTCTCATATTTCTTACTAAAGGATGTAGAAATACTTGGCCTGTTTGGTACGGCTCAAAATCCAATTAAAATTGAAAATATAGCCGTTATTGGGTCCCACTCATCTAATAAAAGTCAACAATAACGACTAGTTTTTCAATTTAATCCGATTTTAATCTCTACCAAACACCCTCTTAGATCGATTTTAGGATTAAACAAAATAGGGTTTTTCTTCTCGTTATTGCGAGTGGCGTCATTCTTGACTTCCACATGTTTTCTTGAACATGGACTGCTTTTCTGCAGGTGGTGCTTACAGTACTTGTGATGGGGCACCACATCTCTTGGGCACCTTCATTTCTGCCATATGTTCGCTTGCACATTTCTAGATGACTAGTCACAATACTCAAACACCAATACCATAAAAAAATCTTTTTAAATCCACATCTAATCAAGTACCAAAAGTGTAAAAAGAACAATCATCGAAGAAAAAGAAGAGTCGATTAACAAGAAATTGAAGGGTTTGGTGGTGAAGGAAAAAGAAGATCAACAGACATAAGTGTGAAAACTTCAAAAAATTGAAACGCATGGACATTTTGCACACTACAGACCAAACGTATGAACGTTTTCTGCTAATAAGCCTTGTAGATGATGGCTTGTCTTTCAAGCTCCTTCCTTTGAAAAGATGTAAAAGGAAACCCCTTATTTGCAACCAATTCATTCTCACCTTGGTTCACACAACAAAACAAAATCAACTTTTGATTCACAGCAAGAACAATGAAAGAGTGACCCAAGGATTTGAAGGTTGTGGCTGTGGCTGTGCTATCGATGTTGCAAGGAGAAAAAAATGTTAAAAAGCTGCAAATTTCTTGCAACCACTGAATCGTCGCCTCCGCCGTGCTTACAACTTGACCAACCACTATTAAAAATGTTCTCTATATCCTTGAAGACAAACTTTTTTCTAGAACTAGAAAATTACCCCCTCGAATTTTGATAAGAAGTTGATTTTTTTCCTTTTATGATTTTTAATTTAATTTATTTGAGATCTATTTGTACTTAAAAAAATGGCAGCTTGATTTCAATTTATTATTAATTTTTCTTTTCTTTTTTGTTTTATTTAAATAAGAGTGTATATTTGTCATTTTATAATTTTTAATTGAGAAACTGGATAAAAATTGATGAAAATGACATTTTCCATAATGAAACGTGGAAATGGGGTGAAAATGCAAAAAATTCAAACGTATGAACGTTTTGCACACCAAAGATTGAGGGTCTGTTCTCTTTACCATTTCAAACCGTTTTCTGTTTTCGATTTTCCAAAATAGTGAAAACGCGTTCTCTTTCCTATTTTCGAAAATGTTTTTTTGAAAACAAGTTAAAAATTTACAAATAAAAAAAAATCCAAAACGACGAATTTGTTAGTTTGAGTGTTTTCAGTTATAATCAAGCAAAAATTTTCAAAACGCGTTTTGAGTGTTTGCAAAATAATTTTTCAAAATACCAAAAAGAACATATTTTCAACAATTTCAAAATGAACACTCAAAATATAAAATTCAAAATGAATTCAAAACTCAAAATACAAAATTGAAATACAAAGCGAACAACCCCTGAACGTATGGACATTTTATACTAATAAGCCCTTATTTTTAAGATAAGTCATATAAACATGCTCTTAATTTATGATTTTTATTGAATACAATAATAAAAATCATTCAAATTGATATGTCAACCGTCACGAGTGAACAAATCAGGATCAGTGGCAAGAAGAAAAGATTGTCAATCACACCAGCCTTATGTGGGACCCTTCCGCCATTCACGGCAACGATTACATTCGTCAAAAGAAGTTCCAAAATAACTTTAGAAGGTTGACCATATCGTAAGTATCCTTTTAAATTAATTTATTATTATTATTAAATTAACAATTAAGTAATATTAAACAATACCTTTTTAATTGGTTACGTTCCGAATGGCAAAGGAATCACGCCTTAACTACAATTTTAAGGACACGTCCTCGTGTGAAGTGCAAGAAAATTAGTATATAATTTTCCAAATTTTCTCTGCCATCTATTTATTTATTTTAATGAAAGTCATTTTTTATTTTTTGTTTCCATCTACTTACTTGTTATAAAAGTCCAGTGATTTTCCTCGTTTGACTTTCAAGTTGGTAACAAGTTAGTGTTAGACATACACTCGTGTTAGATTGTCACATGCCTTATCAGATATTTTGTGGAAAAAACTATTAGATTTTATTTAGAGTAATCAAATTAATATCCCGTTTTAAAGTTTATTTTGAAATAAAATAAAATTTGATTAAAAACATGAAATTTTGACTTAAGTTGATTGACTATCCATCGCCTTACGTCGTGTGTTACTTTTTTATGAAATGAATTTACATAAGAATAAAAATCTTGCACTCTTTCAAAACTTCCGATATTGAATTGTCTAATGCACAAAAAATAATGGTTAGTTTCACTGAGTCGATTGATGTAAAAAGTTTTTGGAAAATCTTACAAATTCAAAAGACATTTTCTATTCTTAAAATTACAAGAGTAATGCTATTCATAGTCGTTCACTGTAGCAGTCGCCATATGTGGTACACACATGTAATTATTTGATGCATTAATGTGGTAGTTTTTTTACCACATTAATGCATTAAATACACACTTGACATACGTGTGTTACATAGGACGACTGCTGTAAGCGACTGCAAATAGCATTATTCAAATTACAAATATGAGTTGAAAGAAAGATCAAAACAAAAAATTCTCAGCCCTTGTTTTGGCTCCATCAATTTTTAATTTTTTTTAAGAAAATACATTTTGTAATAATAATTTTTTGATAAATGTGTGGTTAAAAAATAAAAAATAAATAAATTAAGTGTAATATTATTTTATTAGAGAATGTGTAATGGAAAATAAAAGAAAAAAAAAACATTTTTGAAATAATGGAGCAAAAACCCCCCCAAGAAAGGGGACCCACTAAAGAAGCAATGATTAGGGAAGAGTTATTGGCTTTGCAACATTCGCCCACCACGCACCAGTATTTGCTCCAAAAAAGTGCACTCTCACCTAAAACGCTTCAATTCCCTTTACCTCAATGCCAATTCAATTGGTATCTTTTCTGCTTCCATTTCCCCTGTTTGCAAATTGCTTATTCCCTCAAACCTCAAATACCCCACAAAAACCCAAAAACATGTTTTCATTTCGTTTAGTCAAAATCTTTGCACCAAACAACATTAGTCTGTGTCAGTAGATGGGCCTATATATGTTTTCTTTTGCCTTTCTTTAAAGCCACACTCTGTGATCAAAGTCGAACGTGAAAGTGGGTGCCGGGTTTATACTTTTATACATCACTGCAAAAGGACATAAATAAGAAGTTATACAGCGTTTCTGTTTGTGGGTTCATTATTGATAGCTCGGAAAGTTCAGAATTTACAAGTTAAGGTGAGTTCTTCATTAATTTCCTTGAATTACATTAGTAGAATTATAGTTTAAAATTTACCTTGTAAATTGATGAATTTTTGTTGTCTTTTGGATATTGAATGCAAAATTGCAACCCTTTTCACGTGTTTTTGGCTACTGAGATTTATACTACTTTATGTTGGAATATACTTGTGTGGTGAGTAATGGGAGTGTACTGGGCAAGAGTGGCTTTTTGGAATCTCAGAATATTATTGGCTTTGCTATTCTGAAGAAGCAGAAGAAGGATAGACTATAGAGGTTAACGATAGACAATAACTCCCCCAGAACTCGGCTTATGATTTCCATCATATTAAATGTTGAGCTTGAGCTTGTTGGAGAACAATACATCTTAAAATCTCACTCAAAAGGTGCTAGGAATCTCAATTCTAAATAAGGATTTTTGTAGTTTTGGAGGTTGCAGCTACACGAGCTAATGAAGTTTCGTTCTTACTTAATTCGAGGTTAACTAGGAAGTAGATGAAACTATGAAAATAATAACTTGGTTACTGTAGCTTCTGTTTAACATGATGTTAATTTGTAGTGGGGGTTCTGTTTATTTCTAGTGCCCGAATACAGGACATGCCACGTGGTGTATCCAACACACATCAGAAAAGTGTCCATGGCATGTTAAAATTCAAAACAAAATACTTGAAAAATAGGATATTCCTGCAGTTTGTCTCGCATGTCCTGAGCCGTCCGTTTTGAAATGTGTGGGATACGGAAATGCCACCCTACTATAAGTGCTGAAGTTTCATAGATATATTAAGATCATAATCATGGCCTTTAATGTAGACAGGAATGTTTGTTACAGGATAAGGACTTTCCATTTAGTTACTCTTCCATGGAGACAATGAGTTCAACTGCTTCAATGCCCTTCCCTAGGCAGCCAACCAGTTATGATGAGATTTCTATGCAACAGAGCATGCTCTTCTCTGATAGCCTCATGGTATTTCTATACTCTTTACTTGTATATAGCTCGTGGGACTAGCTCCAACCCCACCCCCAAAGTTCGTCTCACACAAACACAGGCTTTCTGCTCTGCATATATTTCAATGTCATTTTTGATCCCTAAGTAGGATTCTAGGATGAGGAAACAAAATCTAAAGAACAGAACTTGAATATGACAGGTGGTGCTGGTAACTGGTTGTTCTCATGTTGCATCTTATTGCAATTCTGATGAAAATCTTGATATTTCAGTATCTTTTTTTAACTAGGCATATATTCAAACATTTTTGCTTTTGATCCTCTTGAATGTGGTTTCAAATTTTTACATACTCATTGCACTTGTTTGTTCAGGATTTGAGAAATCTCAGGAAACAACTCTACTCAGCTGCAGAATATTTCGAGTTTTCTTATACCAACGATGACCAGAAACATATGTGAGTTGTATATTGAAGAATTTCGTGTTACCCATTTGTGGTCAAATCTTTTACTTGAAGAGGATTCTGTATTGACTTTTGTTCTCTGCAAATATTTTTGAATGTACAGAGTGGTGGATACATTGAAGGATTATGCCGTCAAAGCTCTTGTCAATACTGTAGACCATTTGGGCTCTGTGTCCTACAAGGTGAATGATTTGTTGGATGAACTGGTTGACGAAGTTTCCGGAACAGAGCTTCGGTTACCATGTATCGAGCAGGTAACTATTCTGAACATATTTGAAAACTAAGGAGTTACTTAAAAGTAACTTCTACATATTATGAGTAGCTAAACATTATACTAGTACGATGTGGAGAGACGATGTTTTGTTTAAAGACTCTCCAGACTGTATGGGAGAAAGTTATTTTCGCCACGGTTCTTTATTGCATTTACGTGGTTTTTCTTAGAGGTTAAGGACATGCCAGGAGTATATTGATCGTGAAGGCATTTCTCAGCAGTCACTCATGATAAACGCTCCCAAGTACCATAATCGGTACATCCTGCCAGGCAATTACAGTGAACTCTGATAATTTTCACAATGTTTTTCTTTTTATGCCAGTAGAGAGATTTCAGCGTTCGTTTATCAACAAGTATTTTGATTTTTCTGTTTAGTGGGGGAGACTATGCAAGGTGCAATCCATACTAGGTCAAATTACCAAGGATGCAACCTAGATGATGAAGATGACTGGCATCAGTTGAAGAATGGTAGTGCACTATTTGCCTTATCTTCTGTTGCATTCTCAAATTTGTTGCACTATAAACTTTTTGGCGGAACCAGGGGCAGAGCTACCGGGTCAATTGGCAGCCATCCGCCACTGGGCGTAACTGTATATTTTTTTCACAAGAGTGACACTATCTTGATAGATTTAAGTAAGAAGAGCAAGGAATAGAACTCAATTAAGGATCAAGATAATTTAGACCTTCCACTATATCTAGCAATAATTAGAACAAGGGTTGGATAATTCACTTAGACGACCATTTTAATTTATCGAAAACAAGGCTTAATTTGTTGTCATGTATCTCTTGTATATCTTATGAGCAAATTCTGTTGCAGCTATTCGAGCTACAATTGAAGATACTCCATCATCTGTAGTCATGTAAGTTCTATTGCTATGCATTGATGTTCATCTTATCTTACCTCTTAAATTTACGTGATAACGAAGATGTTTATGTTGGTTGATTCATAGTAAAGGACGCTCTCGTTCACCATCTCCACGACTTGCTCAGCAACCTGGAAACTTCTCGTTCTCAGGCACCATCACCAGAAAAGATTTAGGTTTGTTCCTGCCATTTTTTTGTTGTTTCAAACCATTGTCATTATTAACCCTAGTATTTTCCACTCTTCGGAGTATAACGATTAATTTGTTATCATTTTTCTGCTCGTCACGTTAATATATCAGAAAAACGAACAATGTCACCACTCCGGTTTCCCCTTTTGCGTTCGGGATCTTTCTCAAGTAAGCCGAACACACCAAAAAGTTCAAGGCCAACAACCCCAAACCGGAGTCGGCCAACCACTCCAAATCCCTCGTCCGGAAGACAACAGGTATTCTTTTCTGTCAATGAACTTATATCATATGCTTCAATTTACATTTACTGTTTCTGTTGACAGTACATATTGGAACCTCGCAAATCTGCTTCAATGCGCATCTATTTCGATAAAGAAAGCCCGAAAGATATAGAACAATCTCCGAGCAAAAGTAAACGCCTTTTAAAGGCATTGCTCAGTCGACACAAGTCAAAGAAAGACGAGATGTTATACACTTATTTGGATGAATATTAATCGCAGGAACAGAAACGAGAAACGAAAAGAGATCTGAGGATCAGGGAGATTACTCTATATTTGCTTTGCCATTTTTCTTGAATCCCATTATAGAGTTGTATAATTTTGTTTTCTTTCCAGGTTTCAGTTTGCACCTTCCATTTTCACAATGAGTTCAGCATAATTGTAATTGTATCTTTTCTCTAATATAATGTTTCAAGTATTAATGGTATTCGAAGTGCAGGATTAGACTGCATTTTACAATATTGTGTACCAAAAAAGAAGTTAAAATTTTAACTTTCATACTGTATAGCGGTCCGATATTGTGTACCAAACATCCCTTGGAAGATCGATAAAACAAAACTTCCAGTGATTAGAAGGAAATAAACGAATTAGACTCTTATGCATGCAGATAGGGTATAAATGGTAATTTCAGCACTAGAAATTATTAGAGCAAATTACCGGTACAAGAGGCCACACCAGTATTAGCTTATGAAAGAGCAGGTTCTACCTTGACTGGTTTTGGAATCCTCATGGCTCTAAATAAATGCTTGAATGCCAATTCGAATTGACCAAAAAAGTATAATAGCAAAATACGTAGCTTTTTTTCAATGTTGACCATGAAGGAAAAACAACTTTGTCGCTCGCATCCTGCACTGCCAAACGATATCCGAGTAGCTTTACACCCTGATAAAGGTGCCACATTTGAGTGTTTCCAGCTTTTGGCTATGGCATATAGATCAGAAACAGGAAAAGGAAACACTTGGGAATGACTATATCTTACCAGTGCTTTTCTTAGGCAAGTTTGTCCAATTATATAAACTTATCGCACTCTCTGATGCCTTGATCAACTCAAGAAGAGCATCATTAACCTGAAATATCGATTTTATGTACATTATTTACTCTTCAAATTACTTGAATTCGACCATTTTATTCGTGCAAATATAAGCAAATTTACTGTACTCGTAATAATAACAAAAATGTTCATTACCTCTTCAGTTCTCTCATGACTCACAAGATGCCCACCGTGAAGTTCAACCATTCTCGCAGAAGGATAAAATTTCTCCACTAGCCTCTTCGCATGGCTCAACCGAGCAATGATGTCATGTCTGCGCCATCAGAAATATCTGGCATTGTCATCTTAGCAGATGCAGAGATGTTAGGCTAAGTTAAAAAAGTTTACTTGTATAAAAAGTAAGTCTTCAAATAACTTCTTAATTGGTCATAGTTGAAAATAAATAAGTTACTTATTTTGACAGTAAACTAAAAATTAGTTTCAAAATAAGCGACTACTAGTTTCTTTAAGGTTAGCTAAATATGCTCTATCAGATCATAAATGGGAGAAATATGTTACACTTCTGCACTTTGTTTACCTCCCGTGAAGGACTAATACAGGAAATCCAGCAGCTCGGATAGATTCAAACTCTTCTATTGACATTTTATGTGTCCAACATGCATTTTTCTGACCTTCAAATCCATTAGTTGACTGCATACCAGTTGCTGATAAGTTTTTAACATATTCCTGCAAAAGGTAAACCAATAAGGATGTTGAATCTTAAACGCATAGAAACACTTCCCTAAGAATTACATTTCGAGCCCAAAAAATAATACTGGATGAAGTGTGATGTAGATAGAAGATGTAACCAACATAATCGGATCTACATTTTTGCTCGTGGGATAAAGTACTGTTGCAACTCATTTATGAAAATTTTCCAGTGTCTTGTTGGAAACAAAATTTGAAAAAAGAAATGTAGCAGTTCAACATCCAACCCGAGCCTTCAGTCTGTTTTTAAACCACCAAGTCATAAAACTAGAGGCCAAAGCTATAGTATCGTTTCTAGAACCTCTACACATAATCAACCTTCCCTTCGACTCTTAGGAACTACTTTTATACGTTGATCTGCTTACTATTTCTTACTTCGTATAATATAGATCTTCTCATTTTAAGACCAATGTACCCTTCAAGATATTCCTGTACAGAAATGAACCATGTAATTATTAACATATATAGACTGAATAAGAACAAAAAATGAAAGTAAAGAATTGAAGAAAAGGAAATGCACTATCTTTTAGTGGGTATCTAAATCAACCTTTGTGTAGTGGGTGTCTAAATCAACAGCTGCCCTCTGCTCAGGAGTTTTTGCCCTCAAAAACCGGATTGCAATTGCCAAAGTTCGACAATTGAGCTGAAAGAAAAATAAAAAAAATTAATAAAGAATTCATCCAAGTCGGAAAAGATTTTCCCATCAACCTTGAACAATTTCGTGACCACAAATTTCACTGGTAATATGAAAAAAGAATCTCTGTATGCAAACACCATCAAAATCCCAGAAATAGGATATTTATTATTCATCGAAATATACCAAATAATCGATTTGAAATAACAATGTCCAAACAAAGAAACTGCAATTGCGAAAGTGAATACAGTTATAATCATAATCTAATAATTACGACACAATTATGTAGAATCCACAAGTAGGAGTTAAAGAAGAGCTAGAGCTAAAGTTGAGTTCAAACTGGATTGCCTTTTTAAGACCAGCTGGGATTAAAAGGAAAGCTGAGCTTTGCCATCATGCTATTTCCGACGAAGAAACAGAGTTAGAGGGCGCTGCAGTAATACAACCTAATGTTGTAACATCTGTACACCTTTTATAGTTAACTTGTATTGCATGAAATCATCCATGTTGCCGTTAAAAAGGATTCATACCTTCGGTATACATTCATAACCTCCACCAGTTACATTCAACAAAGCCAAAGACGAAACTCTATCAGGTGCAAGTGCAGCCAACTTACAAGCTATCATAGCTCCTGCATCGTGTGAACTTGATGCGGTCAAATTAATATCATGCACGAGTACGACTTACAACTCATAACAATATTTTTGGTCACTTTTTTGCAAGGGAAAGTTTCTTAGATTAGACAAGACATTGTTAACAAGTTAACCTGATTGACAGCACAAAAGATGATTATTCACATTTTTGAAATTCAAGAAATTAATGATTTGATTATGTACCACTCTAAGAAGGTTGTTCACATTTTTGAAATTCAAGAAATTAATGATTTGATTATGTACCACTCTAAGAAGGTTGTATCACAGTGCTAATTTGATCCCCACTATGAAGTATAAACATACATAAGATCAACGATTAATTTAACCACTAGGGGCTGAAAACTTGTATTACCAATATGATCCTCCCTATCGACACGTAAAGTGAGTTGTGCCAAATTATGGACCTGGACACCTAGGGAGGCACGATCTTTTCTATTTCGCCCACGTTTGATCCACATTAAAATTCTCATTCTCATTTTTCTACTCATTTTCAACCACGCATTTTTCAATAAAATAATATTTTTCATCACATCAATAACTCTTCCTTCTTCTCAACCACACATTCTCCATCAATCTACTATTCCAAAATACGTTTTTCCAAAATAATGTGGCTTAAACACACCCTTCATATCCAGCCGACCCTAGAAACAGTTGAGCTAGAGGTAGGGTCTAGTGACAGAAAAGCACACGTCAAGCCCAACATTGGCCATGTAGTTGAACCAGGCTCGATGTAACCACCGGCTTCTGGACCAATGAAAAACATTTTTTATTCAAATTTTATAGTAAATCTAAAATGAAAAATGAAAACCCCATAAAAGGCCAAAATTTTTGGCCACACGAGTCGACCCATCCACGTGGACCGTGAACCTAGGGCCTTGCCTTGCATGGCTCACGAACTTTCCCTTGGGCACTAACATGACTAGGCCAATATGGAAAAGTACCTATTCTAGACAATAATTAATGAGTAATCCGTGCCACCGATGTCGAGCATCGGTCTATGTGGCAACTGCATTGCATTAAATGATATATTCACTTATATGCAATGTGACGTCATTCATTTAGTTGAACCTATTAAGTGTGGCCATCAGATTAATGTATTAGTACCACTGATGCTAGATAACATTATTAATGTCAAGCAGAGGTTGAAAGTTTAACAACTCACCCATTGAATGGCCAAAGACATGGGCTTTTTCCCAACCCAAGTGATCCATTACTGCTATTGCATCTTTTGCCATAACTTTTGTCCTGCAAAACAGACATAATCCTATTTGTTAAATTTTAGCACGAAATTTATTTTAACGTGAGTATATTTTAAAAATTAAGGGGAAAAAAAGTAAGTCATCCAAATCCATTCAGCAAAAACTTTTATTTTTGAGCTTACTCCAAACATGTGGTAAGGCAAAAAGTTGAAGCTTCAGGTACATTGTACTCACGTATAATCCGACTTTTTCGAGGGCACGGAGCTTCGACCCATTCCACGATTATCAAAGGCACACACCTCTATACCACCGGCGGCGCCACTCCCATTGCTCCGATCACCGGCCAGCGATACATCGTCGTTAGGAGTCACCGTTCCGGCTAGGGCCTTTATCTGTGGACCCCATGAATCGTGTGTCCCAGCCAATCCTAACCATTCATCATAAAAACCAACACCGACCCACGAAATTATTCCAAAACTCACTTCAAAAAAACCATTTGACATTAAAAAAAATGAGAAAAATGAACAAATGAAAAGGTACCTATGATCAAGAGGACTTTAACCGGGCCACAGCCATATGTTCTATAAAAAATCTGAATCCCATTGTTATTAGCTGCGTCCACCTCGTTCTGGTATGTGCTGACGTTACAGACTGGCATATTGATTATTTTTTACTTTTTCGTACTTTTCTTCTGTGCTAGTTTTAGAGAGAGAGAGAGTGCACCATGGAAGAAATTTCACAAATAGAAGAGAAGAAACTAGAACAGAGGAGAAAATGGTTTTGCATGCTATGTTTTTTGTTTGCTATTCTGTTTAAATTTTGATGGACTCGGATACGGGTTTGGTGTGACGGTTCCTGCACGTGGCTGATAAAGAGTGGAGGGTGGGGCCACGTGGGACGGTTGGCTCTGGAAGCTGCTTGGATAAGGCCCATTCCGTACTCTATATTATTTTAAATAATTTTTTATTTGAATACTTTCAATATTTTTTTGAAAAATAAGATTGACTCATTGATTTTTTTAAAAGTGATTCATTTCTAATCAAATATATTTTTTATTAACATATTTTATAAAACTAGTCAATTTGGAATGTGCGTGGTACATTATTTACATATGCGTGAATGTTAATTAATTTAGAATTACTACTAGGACATATATACGTGATAATGAATGTTAAATCATTTATTTAATTTTTAATTAAGTAGAATTGAATGTTAATTAACATATATGTACGCGAATAATGAAATTCTAATTAAATTGTAATTAACAACGCTGAAATGCATTAATGAAGATGAATATTAATTCAATGAACATGAATGTTAATTAATTAAGAATTAATAATAGGGAATTCATATCCTCTACAATATATAAAAGTGGACTTTTTTGTTACTGTTGTTAAGCCATTTGGCCACTTGTTGGAGCCGTTAAGCTTAGCCGTTGAGTGGAGCCGTGTGAGCCGA